CTCAGGTACTGACTTTAGGTAAGAAAAACAATTCGCAGATTTTCCCAAATCCATTCATGGACTTCTAATCGGAGTGAAAGTGAAAGTTAGTAGGTCCAGAGAGAGAGAGAGACGCGTAGGTGGACCTATCAACTTCTTCAACCAGAACAACAACCCAGTTTTCAATATGAAAACTTATATATATATATATATTATATATATATATATATATATATATATATATATATATATATATATATATATATATTATATATATATATATATATATATATATTACATTTTCTTTGGCGCATGTCACACACCCGTATAGGCATGCCTCCCGGTCAGCTAACCAGGCGTTAAGGGTATAATTAGTAGGGGTCCTCTTGTTATCCTAGCAAACCAGCCAATCACGAGGAAGCCCACCACAGTTGTGAAGCGATACGGGACATTTGTGAATCAACATTAACATACTTATCTCCAAGTCTGGTCGGATACGGTGCAGCCACTAGACTACACCTGTGTTCGTAATAATATTTAAGGAACTCAAGGTAATAATGAAATAAGAAGTGAAAACGTTTAATGTTGAGCCTCACGAGGCCTGCACGATAATTATTGGGAGTTGCGTGTTGATAGGTCACGATCCTCGTCTCAAACAGGTCTCCACATCACACACACTCACACACTCAGCTCATCAATACTGAGAGAAGAAGTCAAGAATGTACTGATATACGTATTTGTCAGCGTCGATACCCCTGTAAGAAGAGGGAGTGAAAGTTAGTATTTGGTGGAAGGTGAATTAAGAAGAGGGGGAACTGAAGGAGGGTAAAGAAGAGGGAATGAAGGAGAGTGAAGAAGAGGGAAGAGACGAAGGAAAATAGAGAGGAGGGAAAGAAAGAGAATGAGGAAGAGGAGAAGACAAGGCAGAACAAAGAATATGGAAAGGAGACTGAGGGAGAGAGGAAAGACGGAAAGGCAAGAAGTGAGGGGAAAAAAAAGCGACTGGGGAAGACAGGGGTTGAAAGAGAGTGGATGAGGATGAAGGGTAAAAACGACGGAGATTATTATTATAATCACGGGGGAGCGCTAAACCCGTAGGATTATACAGCGCATGTGGGGGGGGGTATGGAAGGTATTCAGATTCGATTCAGGGAACCGGAGCACAGATCAAATTCCCTAGATCAAGAGCCTCTCACCAGCATCAAGGAACCTCCCTTGAGGGGAAAAACGACGGAAAGATTCCTCTGGAGGGTGACTGAGCTGGAAAAAAGAATGCAAAGAAGATGAAAAGGGTACACAGAAAGAAGGAGAAGGAGGAGGGAAAGGGAGAAGCGTCCAGCCTTCAATATAAGAAAGTACATAAGTTATGGTTTACTCGTAAGGATAACACAATGTCAACATCATCATAGCACAGCAACATCAAGCTAAAATCTTATATAATATCATCTTATTTTATCATTATTGTATATATACGCAGGGCAAGAGTCTCACCAGCCGAAGTCGAGATGGTTAAATTCCGTTTTGTTGACTTGGAAGTTGAGAGCCAAATTGGGCAGCTCAGCAGCCAGCCGGGCCACGTCCTGGAACGACATGTTAGTTATACATCCTGGAACAAGGTAAGTGTTAAAGCGAGGACCTGGAATAGTCCAGTAACCAAACAGAAGTCAGAAGAATTTCCAGGAAAGATAGATAAACTTGGTAGATCAGTATCCTGGAACGAAGTGTTGTTAGTTACGCATCCTGACACAAGATCAGTGTTAAAGCGAGGACCTGGAACAGTCCAATAACCGAAGAGATGTTAGAAGTATTTCCACAAAAGACTGATTTGGTATATAAGTGTCCTGGAACGATATGTCCTGGAACAGTCATGTAACGTTTTTCAACTATGTGATCGTTATAGTTCTGAAATGATATACTTATTAAAGTCCTGGAAAATATTCTTGCTAGAGATGAATTTTGGAAGTCATGGAACGATATATTTCCTAGTGCAACGAAACAGGTTTAATGCAGCATCGTGGAACAACACGAGTGTTAGTGCATGATCTTGCAACGACACAAAGTTAGAGCATGGTCTTACAACGACACACGTGTTAGAGCATGGTCAGACAACGACATAGGTGTTAGAGCATGGTCTTACAACAACACAGGTGTTAGACTAGGGTCTCGCAGAACTGTGAAGTAAGGTAGATAAATTCACAAACAGACAGCAAGCTTGCTTGACATTAACAGAAGAGACGAAAAGAACCAAACAGACAGGGTTGGGCCAGTCAAATAGCCACACATATAGACGTACAGACAGAAGTACAGACAGACGTGCAGACAGACAGATATACCACCAAGTTTTCAATCAGCTAATCAAGCACTGGCACAGATATAAGCACAGGCATTACCGTGGGGTCAGCGAGCCAGTCTGTATTTCCCCAGAAGAGGCCGACGGGGGCGCTGACGTGGGAGAGGTCGTACAAGGGCGGAGTCTCCTGACCGTAGTGGATCAGATTGTTTATTGGTCCATAGTCGTATTTCTGGAACACCCCTGGAAGGAAACGCTCACCTTGACAGGTAGTAGTAGTAGTAGCAGTACTGGTAGCAGCAATAGTAGCAATAGTAGCAGCAGTAGTAGTAGTAGTAGTAATAGCAGCAGCAGCAGTAGTAGTAGTAGTAGTAGTAGTAGTAATAGTACCAGTAGTAGTAATAGTACCAGTAGTAGTAGAAAGTAGTAGTAGTAGTAATAACATTAGTCGTTTCATTCAACGTCGTCTCGTTATAACGTTGAACGTTTTAAGAAACATTTAAAACTAAATACCATACAAATAACAGGTGAGTCTGTAAGTGCCGACACAGAAGCCGCAGCTGCTTACCCAGTTGTAATATTATGTCAGTTTCCTTCCTTATGGCTGTTTGTATTCGGTTTTTATGATACGTAGCGTGTTTCTTAAATGATTCTGAAAAAAACATGTGATACCTTAAATAATAAAAATGTCAGCAATAGAGTAAATATGCGACTTTATAGCTCCCCAGAGCGACATACTCCACTGTCATGGCGTCTGCAGCACTACTGTGCTCCTTCTCAGCTCTCCCTTGCGGTAGCAACTTAACTCTTGTTTATAGGGTAAAACTGGCTTCGTTATACGTCATTTCGCTTAAAGTCGTAGTTTCCGAGACTCAATTGACGACGTTAAGTGAGGATTTCCTGTAGTAGTAGTAGCAACTGGTGACTGGTACTTGATATCAAGTGCTCCACACATACTAGTGATTGGTACTAGTACCTAGTATTAGGAAGGGTGTTTATCCAAGGAATAGGAACTGACTTCCCCTGTTATGATAGCTCAAACGAGACTACCTCTAAAGCTCCCAGGCGTGGTATGGCCTCTTCGGGCTTATCGCTTCCCTTTCATAATAAGTAATAATAATAATAATAATAATAATAATAATAATAATAATAGTAATAATAATAATAATAATAATAATAATAATAATAATAATAATAATAATAATAGTAAATAATAATAATAAATTTAGACAACGATAAATAACTTACGAATTTATATGCAAAAAATGTACAATTATCATTTCGAAATTCACAGGAAGCGTTAAACTCGTATGGTCATCTATTATTATTATTATTATTATTATTATTATTATTATTATTATTATTATTATTATTATTATTATTATTATTATTATTATTATTATTATTATGGGTTATATAACGTCTGGAGAATGGGAGGTACTCATGTCTGATCCTGGAAAAAATGAGAGAGTTCGAAACGTTTCGCCTCTACATTTCGCCTTAAATAGCGACAAGCTGACGAGTCAGACACATGTCCAACACTACAAATCTTTACTGACATATGTTGCGCATGTTAGGTAAGACACATACGCAACAGTTAGACAACTTTATTCCGAAACGTTTCGCCTACACAGTAGGCTTCTTCAGTCGAATACAGAAAGTAGGCAGGAACAGTAGAGATGTGAAGACGATGTAATCAGTCCATCACCCTTAAAGTCGTAGAATTTGAGGTTGTCAGTCCCTCGGCCTGGAGAAGTTCAGTTCCATAGTCAGGAACTATCTGAAGATCAAGCGACAGTGCGGAGACTTAAATACTGTCGGAAGGAGAGGTGCAGGGTAGTAGTAGTAGTAGTAGTAGTAGTAGTAGTGAGAGGCCACTGAGAGGTCATGTCCCTCTAAGATCCAACACTTCTCACTTGAAAAGCTTGTCCAAGGTGTTTTCTGTACCAAGATGTCACGTGTTGCAGTGTCTGACAAGATGAACATCAAAATGGTATACAATACCGACAGGTTGTTAGGTAAGACACATACGCAACAGTTAGACAACTTTATTCCGAAACGTTTCGCCTACACAGTAGGCTTCTTCAGTCGAATACAGAAAGTAGGCAGGATGTTCATCTTGTCAGACACTGCAACACGTGACATCTTGGTACAGAAAACACCTTGGACAAGCTTTTCAAGTGAGAAGTGTTGGATCTGAGAGGGACATGACCTCTCAGTGGCCTCTCACTACTACTACTACTACTACTACTACTACTACTACCCTGCACCTCTCCTTCCGACAGTATTTAAGTCTCCGCACTGTCGCTTGATCTTCAGATAGTTCCTGACTATGGAACTGAACTTCTCCAGGCCGAGGGACTGACAACCTCAAATTCTACGACTTTAAGGGTGATGGACTGATTACATCGTCTTCACATCTCTACTGTTCCTGCCTACTTTCTGTATTCGACTGAAGAAGCCTACTGTGTAGGCGAAACGTTTCGGAATAAAGTTGTCTAACTGTTGCGTATGTGTCTTACCTAACAACCTGTCGGTATTGTATACCATTTTGATGTTCATCTTGTCAGACACTGCAACACGTGACATCTTGGTACAGAAAACACCTTGGACAAGCTTTTCAAGTGAGAAGTGTTGGATCTGAGAGGGACATGACCTCTCAGTGGCCTCTCACTACTACTACTACTACTACTACTACTACTACTACTACCCTGCACCTCTCCTTCCGACAGTATTTAAGTCTCCGCACTGTCGCTTGATCTTCAGATAGTTCCTGACTATGGAACTGAACTTCTCCAGGCCGAGGGACTGACAACCTCAAATTCTACGACTTTAAGTGTGATGGACTGATTACATCGTCTTCACATCTCTACTGTTCCTGCCTACTTTCTGTATTCGACTGAAGAAGCCTACTGTGTAGGCGAAACGTTTCGGAATAAAGTTGTCTAACTGTTGCGTATGTGTCTTACCTAACAACCTGTCGGTATTGTATACCATTTTGATGTTCATCTTGTCAGACACTGCAACACGTGACATCTTGGTACAGAAAACACCTTGGACAAGCTTTTCAAGTGAGAAGTGTTGGATCTGAGAGGGACATGACCTCTCAGTGGCCTCTCGCTACTACTACTACTACTACTACTACCCTGCACCTCTCCTTCCGACAGTATTTAAGTCTCCGCACTGTCGCTTGATCTTCAGATAGTTCCTGACTATGGAACTGAACTTCTCCAGGCCGAGGGACTGACAACCTCAAATTCTACGACTTTAAGGGTGATGGACTGATTACATCGTCTTCACATCTCTACTGTTCCTGCCTACTTTCTGTATTCGACTGAAGAAGCCTACTGTGTAGGCGAAACGTTTCGGAATAAAGTTGTCTAACTGTTGCGTATGTGTCTTACCTAACAACCTGTCGGTATTGTATACCATTTTGATGTTCATCTTGTCAGACACTGCAACACGTGACATCTTGGTACAGAAAACACCTTGGACAAGCTTTCAAGTGAGAAGTGTTGGATCTGAGAGGGACATGACCTCTCAGTGGCCTCTCGCTACTACTACTACTACTACTACTACTACTACTACTACTACCCTGCACCTCTCCTTCCGACAGTATTTAAGTCTCCGCACTGTCGCTTGATCTTCAGATAGTTCCTGACTATGGAACTGAACTTCTCCAGGCCGAGGGACTGACAACCTCAAATTCTACGACTTTAAGGGTGATGGACTGATTACATCGTCTTCACATCTCTACTGTTCCTGCCTACTTTCTGTATTCGACTGAAGAAGCCTACTGTGTAGGCGAAACGTTTCGGAATAAAGTTGTCTAACTGTTGCGTATGTGTCTTACCTAACAACCTGTCGGTATTGTATACCATTTTGATGTTCATGTTGCGCATGTGTTTAAACTCTCGAAAAATTCTATTGTACGGACGAAACGTTGCCTGACAGCGTTTCACAGACAGCAGACAGTCATCTACAAGTCGTCGATATTCCCCTCACAGAATATATATACCGAGAGGTGGTGCATGGCTCTCAGCGTATATATACTGAGAATTTAATCCCTATTTTTGAGAGCAAAACATTCTTGTCTGGTGGTGAAAAGGATTTACGTGTAGCATTAATGACCCTAGTGTAATCGATAGACTTTTAAATCCCCTCCATTAACACAACCGGTATTCCCAATTCGTCTACAGTTATTTGTCTTACCTGCCAGGATGAGCTGGGCGTAGTGGTTGACGGTGTGTACGGAGGTACCGGCAGGCATGTGAGAGAGGATCAGCGGTAGGTACTCCTACAGGAAGATGTAACCAAATTAATCATAATACAAGTTAATTTTTCTTTTGCGAGGTTTGCGGGGATAATTATAAGCATCACCGACTGGTTATCAGATGACGAATTCTCCCCCCCTCCTCACGGGATTTTTTTTTTCCCATTTCTTTAAGAGAATTGCCTGATGTCTTTTCCCTCTCTCTCTCTCTCTCTCTCTCTCTCTCTTTCCCCGTTAGGTTAGTAAAACTCTGGATTTATAAGTAAAGTAACTTCAAAGTTGCGACACATACATACAATCAAGACATAAATATATTTTTTTAATTTATTTACCGAGACCTGAGTTCAAAGACGGCTACAAGTATGGCCTTTCTAGAAGAGTAAAAGTCATTGGCTAGAATATTGCACATTGGCTTGAACAAGGGATAAATAAATAACTATTTGGAGAGACAAATTAGACGACGTTTCGGTCCCTCGTGGACCATTATAACGATCCAGGATAGACAGAAACGTCGTCTAAAGTTTCCTCTCCAAAATATGGGTTATTACCCACAAGATAGTTGAACACTAGTGGTTAACGCACTGTCCTCTGAATTTTAAGACTCACTCGCCACGGGTTCAAGTCCTGATTTGCGGATTATTTACCAACAAGTCTTGCTGGTCTGCTATGTTAGCGCAGTAGGAACCACAAATTAATAGTCTATCCCTTTATCGTAGTCCCGAGTCCCTAACATCAAGCTGAGGCAGCTCACTGCATCTATCCACAGGTACGTCATCTGAGTACGAACGACAAAAAGAGGACAGTGAAATTGCGTCAGACAGCAAGTGGAAGCTTGAAATGCATTACTTTCCCCAGGCCTGGGAAGCTTGAGGGGATGGAGGTTAGAGTACAGTGCTAAAGAGGACAATACAGTTGTGGCAGACAGTTAATGGAAGCTTGAAAAGCATTACTTTGCCAAGCCCCGGGAACCTTGAAGGGGATTATTTGGAATTCTGTGCCATAACCTGCCCACCTCAGGGATCTCGTCGGAATCAGGACCGCAGATAAGGAAGAGGAAGTTGTAGCAGACCTCGGCGGTGTTAGCCTCCATATCGCAGAAGTTTTCAGCTATGTAGTCCATCAGGTCAGAGCCGGGAAGAAGCTCTCCCACACCCAGCAATGAAAACACCATCTAGGGAGAATATAAACAGCGTCAACAACCCTCCACTCGGTGTATAAAAGCCTCTGGTAAAAGACACGTAAAAAAAAACATTAGACCGTCATCAAGGTCTCAGGATCGAAATGTTTCTTAATGAATATGACCTAGTGTTTCATCACATGTCATTTTAGACCAATTTGTCGGTATCTGTTATCTACCCCCCACGCACAATTCACAACGTCGACGTTCGGTCCCTCCTGGAAAATTTGCCAGAGTGTGACTTGACATTGGTTCAGGATTGACCGCCACGTCGTTATGAGGCTCCTCACCTTAGTGCTGGTACTGTGTTAATTACGCCAGTCACAGAATTTGCCACTTTGCACTCTTTACCAATACAGTGTTTCCAAACACGGGTCGGTGAAACGTGCTATCAGTGAAGGCTTCCTTGTACTGGGCATCTTCTTACCTCTTGTCGACACTCCTCCAGCAGCGTGTACAGCAGAGATGACCAGAGTTCAGCAAGGCGGGATCTATTTTTTTCAAAGTTGATCCCTATTTTTGATCATCCCGCGATCTACTCGTTACTTGCAGATCGCGTTGCCATTTCTAGTAGATAGAGATGCCATTTCTAGTAGACCGCGATGCCATTTCTGGTAGATAGAGATGCTATTTCTGGTAGATCGAGATGCTATTTCTGGTAGATCGAGATGCTGTTTCTGGTAGACCGCGATGCCAATTCTGGTAGATCGCGATAGCATTTCTGGTGGATCGCGGGATGATCAGTATAGCGGATCAACGTAGGGGAAAAGTAACAAGTAGATCGCGATCGACGTTTTGCCCGAGCCTGGCCCACAGTGCTCGAAAGGATTTATTGTTATGTTTACGAAATATAACGTTAATTTATAACTCCCCGTATAAACCCATGTAAACAAAATAATCACTTGAAGAGTTACTTTTGTATCCCAAACTTGGGAATGTTAGCGAACGGAGGATCGAGCCTTCAATTTCCTTGTGTTGAATCACCCACACGGGTTTACCTTTTGCATAAGGTGTAATGTAGGAAAATAATGAGGAGAAAGAAGCATAATAATGCAAAATAATAATAATAATAATAATTAGAGAAAGAAATAAACATAATCATCATTCTATAATTATCATGTTTTTAAAAATAATCGAAAGTAACAAATTAGAAAGAAGAAAGACAAAGGGTAAAGTGGAAGATGAATATGAGAAAGCAATAAAGAATTAATGGGTTTAATATGAAAGTAATGGGTAATAAATGGGCTTAATCTAGCCTGTTCTTCACTGGATGGGCAATAAGAGTGTTGGCAGTAACTACTGCTACAGAGCAGCGAAGTTAGTGTGGCACTCACGTCCAAGTCGCCGGAGTATGGTGCCAGCTCGATTAGGGGTCCCTGTGCCTGGTCCGTGTAGGCTACCGGTGCCATGGCTGCCATAGCACGCACCTGTGTAGGCGAATTATAATAATAACAATTATTATTATTATTATTATTATTGTTGTTGTTGTTGTTGTTGTTGTTGTTGTTGTTGTTGTTGTTGTTATTTTTTGTTGTTGTTGTTATTGTTATTATTATTATTGCTTTTATTACTATTACTATTATTATTATTACCATTATAATAATAATAATAATAATAATAATAATAATAATAATAATAATAATAATAATAATTATTATTATTATTATTATTATTATTATTATTATTATTATTATTATTATTGGGAAATACAACAGCCCTTTTGGAACGAGAGGCGATCAGGTTTGATTGTAGTAATGGGCGGAGGTAGATACAATTCCTTGATTGGAGAACCCTTGACTACAAGCAGGCAAGAAGAGGTGGGGCAGAGTGTGAGGTAAGGCTGATAAATTAGCAGGCGAGGCTGATACGGCTGAGGAGAAACTCAAGTGTGTACGTTGGTAAACCTGTTCGGTAAATCATTAAAGGTGTAACTTTTTTTGTATGGATTTAGAAGTTCTAAATTGTTAGCAAACTGTGTAGACACTAACTTGTAAAATTTGGAGGGAGAGATACATGATTATATACACCTGGAAAATCCTAGAGGGACTAGTACCGAACTTGCACACGAAAATCACCCACTACGAAAGCAAAAGACTTGGCAGACGATGCACCATCCCCCCAATGAAAAGCAGGGGTGTCACTAGCACGTTAAGAGACCATACAATAAGTGTCAGGGGCCCGAGACTGTTCAACTGCCTCCCAGCACACATAAGGGGGATTACCAACAGACCCCTGGCAGTCTTCAAGCTGGCACTGGACAAGCACCTAAAGTCAGTTCCGGATCAGCCGGGCTGTGGCTCGTATGTTGGTTTGCGTGCAGCCAGCAGCAACAGCCTGGTTGATCAGGCTCTGATCCACCAGGAGGCCTGGTCTCAGACCGGGCCGCGGGGGCGTTGACCCCCGGAACTCTCTCCAGGTAAACTCCAGGTAAACCATTAGCTGTCCTTTTATGGCTGGTATTTTCAAATGCAAGTGTTACTTTCTTTAAAAATAAATGCATATGCACAATAAACTTACACACATGTATACATACGACATGCATGTAGATGCAGACTCATACATATGCACACGCTTACATATTTACTTCTCACGTCGAAGCCCTAGGAACTGTACCTGATCAGCCGGGTTGTGGTTCTTACGTCGGTTTACGTGTGCCTAGCAGTAACATCCTAGTTGATCAGACCCTGATCCACCACGAGGCCTGGTCTCAGACCAAGCCGCGGGGGCGCTGACCCCCGAAACCCTCTCCAGGTATACTCCAAGTATACATACGACCTACCTACACTATTCGTACTGTGAGTATCGAGGAAGAGGCGAGCTGAGCTCACAGCATCCCGGGGGATACCTATGTCGGATCGCTCAAAAACCGAACCCCTCAAGGAAGGTTCCTTGATGCTGGTGAGGGGCTCTTGATCTAGGGAAATGGATCTGTGCTCCAGTTTCCTGAATTAAACCTGAATCCCCTCCACATCCCCCCACAGGCGCTGTATAATCCTTCGGGTTTAGCGCTTCCCCCTTGATTATAATGATAATCAGAAACCGAAACAAGTCAACAACAGAATTCTGATGATTGTTACTTAATTTTTACGTTTTCTAACTTCCAGAGACGCTTAGATGTATTACGCTCTGCCAGACGTAATTTTTAATAGCACAATATTAAAACAAGAAGCGTTAAATGCGTGTGGGTCAGTTGGTGGGTTAGCTGGGAGTGTAGAACCTACTGACTACATGAGGGTCATTAAGACTGCTTATCACCTGTTCAATACCAGACAGAGATACCTTAATTCTAAAAGAAACAGTGAAATACCATACACAGACGGTTTACATCTGGTAAGCACTGTATGAACCACACACAAGGGTATATACACCGAGAGGTGTATGTCACTCAATGTATACACCCTGAGAGTTTACACGTATCTCAAGAGTGTATACATTGAGGGACATACACCTCTCCATTATATATACCCTTATGGGTGGAATATACAGCTCTTTTTTAGACGTAAACCGGCTGTTTATGTTATTTCGTTGTTGTCGATCACGATGTCTAACATAAGTTGATCTGTGTTAAGCTAACCTAACCTAACCTAACCTAACTTAACCTAATCTAACCTAACCTAACCTAACTTAACCTAACCTAACCTAACCTAACCTAATCTAACCTAACCTAACCTAATCTAACCTAACCTAAACAAACCTAGAATAGGATACTAAGCAAATAAACATTTGTAGAGGTCTAGCTCACGCTTCTAGAACTCAATGGACTGAAAATCTATTTGAGAAGACGAAAACTGCTGACGGAAGCTGACATCTGCTGTCGCTGCCTGACAACTGTTGTAACTGGCTGATAACTGCTGTCATAGGCTGACAGTTGCTGTAGCTAGCTGACAACTGATGTAACTAGGTGACAACTGCTGTCGCAATCCGACAACTGTTCTCACACACTGACAACTGTTGTCACACGGTGACAACTGTTGTCACACGCTGACAACTGTTGTCACACGCTGACAACTGCTGTCACAATCTGATAACTTCTGTCACAAGCTAATAACTGCTATCACAAGGCCTGGTCATGGACCGGACAGCGAGGACGTTGTGACCCCCCACCCCCGCAACACCCTCCAGGTAGACTTGAATCATTTACAGGCAACGCAATACTACTGCTCACTGAAACACATGCACTCAACACAGTGTTAAATAACATATTTAAAACAGGGTGATGTCAGAGACAGTTCTGTCCCAGAAGTTCCATGTTGTCAGGTGGCTGGTTTTTTCTCGTTTCCATATTTTTTTGAGAACCTGTTTTAATGCTAGCATTGGAAACTGGTTTTTCACGAAATCTGGACATCAGAGATCTCGAGTAGACCTTCCCTAATGTTACCACTGTGTCTGTCTGTCTCTCCCTTGCTTTCCTTTCGTTAACTCCTACTACTAAACAATACACAATAGCTTTTACTACACATAGAAGCAGAAAGCTTCTAATTCCCTTCTAAGTCCGCTTTTAAGTCCTCTTTTAAGTCTACTGTTGTCTGTCTTTCCTATGTGCTCTCTTTCTCTCTCTCTCTCTCTCTCTCTCTCTCTCTCTCTCTCTCTCTCTCTCTCTTTCCCTACCTACCTTCTGGTTGTACTCTGGCCTCTCACTCATCATGGCCCAGAAGACAGTCGTACCCATACTCCAACCAATGTAATATAAATCCTGGGCACCGGTCTGTCCTAGGACGTAGTCTATACTAGCCGGGACGTCATAATATCCCATTTCGTCCCATCTGGTAAGAAAAAAAAATTATATTTCCACATTACATATCAACAGTTTTAGCATATAACAAAATACGTCTGCAAATACGTCAAAAAATTATCTTTCAATAAATCATTTATTTTTATTTATATTTTTTTGCAAAATTATATTTAGAAAAGAAAATTCTGCTTCATAAGACTTAACAAAATTATTATTTTTGGACGAGTATAGATTTTGTCTGCGCTTATTTGAGGGTGTTTGACGCAGGTACGCATGTGCGTATTATACGTATGTGCATTTTTCAAATGTGCGTATGTATGTGTTCTATACACATGCTGCTACATGTTTTAACGTGTCAGTATACTCTTCTTATACGTGTTTGTACGTGTTTTATACTTGTAGATATGCGTACATTTGTTTTATGCTAATGCGAACTTGTCTCATACATACGTGCACGGCTTACATACATATGTCCTTGTTTTATACATGTACGTACGTGTTTTCATTCATGTACGTGTCTGTTGTAGGTGTTAGTTAAATTTACTGAAAACAACGATTAAATGACAATAAATTTGGGTACTTTTTGTTTTTAATACCCCCACCCCTCCCCCCATTCCCCCTCACCCATTCACCATCCCTTCCCCATTCCCCCTCACCCATTCCCCCTATCCCTTCCCCATTCCCCCTCACCCATTCACCCACCCCTTCCCTATTCCCCTCCCCCACTCCACCTACCCCCCCTCCCCCACTCCACTTACCTCCTCCCCCCTCCACCTACCCCCCTCCCCTTCCACCTACCTCCCTCCTCCACACCACTTCCTCCCTCCCCCCTCCCCTGCCGCTCTTGCCTTAATTATACTCCACAAAACACCTTCACAATGATGCAGGATGATATTATTCTGCAAAATACTTCTTATATTGATAAGGCATGACTAGCAGATACCTATCACAAGTGAGGGTCGTCCATTGTGGTCCTCGCAACCGATTGTGTTGAAACCCAGGAACAAAAGTCTTGTTTTTTTTCTCTTTATCGACAACTATTTCCAGCTGAAGGATTCTTATTATTATATAAGAACATAAGAAAGAAGGAACACTGCAGCATGCCTACTGGCCCATGCGATATTACTATATTATTGTTATTACTACGCGGGGGGAGGTGGGAGGTGTTTGGACCTTGAGAAGTCCTGCTTTACGAGCCGTTTTTCCCATCCTTGCATTAGAGAACACTTTAGTGGGCACGTTCCACGGTGCCCGGTGGCCTGGTGGCTAAAGCTCTCCCTTCACACGGCGAGGGTCCAAGGTTCGACTCTCGGCGAGGGTAGAAACATTGGGCATGTTTCTTTGCACCGGTTGTCTATGTTCACCCATCAGTAAAATAGGTACCTGGGTGTTAGTCGACTGGTGTGGGTCGCATCCTGGGTCAAAAACTGACCTAATTTGCCCGAAATCTTTGCAAAACAAGAAGCTTTCTATATAGTAGTATGTCACTGATGTCAGCTAGGACTGTATACCTTGTACATGTTCTTGTAGTAAATAAAGATCTTATTATTGTCATTATTAGTGCTGAAAGCATTCAATAGATGGCATATGCTTGCAGGGCGTATGTCTGTCAAAGGCAAACATTTGCCTAGTTTGTGGGCTAGGGTAGGTTAGATGGAAATGAGAAACAGCGCAGTATTTACTAGGACTTTCAGCACCTTCCTCAAGACGTCAAGAAGCAGAAGTAGTAGCTGAAGAGGTTGTTTTTAGAAGGATCGCAGGAGAGATGCAGCGCACTCGACGTTACCCAGCTACCACCTCCTCCACTACTGCCACAGTTCCCACCTCCGCCACTACCAGAACTTTACACAGCCCTACCACTATCACCACCGCACCACCACCTGCGTCAGGGTAAGACCAGCACCAGCACCCCCATCAGCACCACCACCACCGCACCACCACCACCGCCCCACCACCACCAGCACCAGCACCACCACCACCACCCCCACCACCACCACACCACCACCACCCACACCACCCCCACCACCACCACCACATACAACATGAGACGAGTCACCCGCTACTTGTCTACTGAGGTGAGACTAACGCCACTACCACTTGGGAGATGACAATCTCTCGCCGAAACTCGCAAAAACAGAAATTCTAAAACTTTCCTAAAACTTTTTTTTGCTAACCTACTTCACCGGACTGATTACCTTCTTCACATAGCTGTTAATATTTGTCACAAACATTAACCATCATCACAGGGTTTTTTTTAGCGTCCTAAACATGATTAACTTCCTCACGAGGCTTTCTTTACAATAATAGGATTTTTTCGTTCTTTTACCTCGATCACCGAGGATCTTAAAGAGTATAATATCTTAGTCTAACTTAAAGCGCAAAACCCGCATGGGTGATACGTCTACTGACGATTAATTAGACAGTATTACTCCCCGGGGAACTGCCAGAAGGCTAAGTCTTCAGGAAGGAGTTCGATGTGATTCCTGGAGTAAGTGTTGCCTCTCTGTTAGATAACCAGACGTCGTATCCCGAGTCCGCCAGTATGTATGCTGCAGATTATTATTTTATTATTATTATTATTATTATTATTATTATTATTATTATTATTATTATTATTATTATTATCGTAACTCAGTGCAAAATCCAGCCAGTATGTATGCTGCGGAGACACGTACAATAATCACGTTTGTTAAAACTATCGTATATCACGAATATATATATATTATATATGTCGTGCCCGAATAGCTAAAACTGGTTAATTAACAAGAACTCTTTTAAAAAATTAAATCTTTTCTAAAAATTTCCTCGCTACTTTTAAAAAATATTTTTTTTTCAATTATGTTAATATAAAAATTAATTATTTTTGTACCAAAAGAACCTTAGAAAACTTACCTAACCTATCATAACAAGCGCAATTTAATTTAGCCTAATCCAACTAAATATATTTTATATAAGTTTACAATAATTTAATTAAACAAACACAATGAAACATATCTTTCTCGTTAGGTTCAGAACGATTTTTTCGAAATTATTGCATACACAAATTTTTGCTTGCCCTATTCGGCAAGAAGAGTGTTGCTATTTAAGCCAAAATAGCAAGTTTTACTTATTGGTCAGTCGTCACGTGAGGTCACAGACCCTGAGCTGCTTTGGGGATTAGTGTGGACGGTTACAAAGCATGGCTTGCTTCTGCAGTGTTTTAAAAATTGAGGTTGGAGAGTTGAAGGAGGAGGTCTTGCTTCTCCAGGAGGAGATTAGGAGGCTGAAGGTCCACCTCAATGGGTCTGGGAGAGAGTGTGAGGTGGCTGGAGTTGTGGGGAATGAGGCTTCTAGCAGTGAGGTGCAGTCTGTCTCTCGCTGTGAGGAGGCTGTAGCTGGGGAGGTAGCAACGGCTACCAGCAGTGGGGTGCAGTCCAGCACCTGTACAAGTGGCGAGTGGTTCACAGTAATGGAAGGGCGCATCAGAGAAAGGAAAGTTAAGAGTAAAGATCTAAAGGTAGGAAATCGCTTCTCTTTTCTTCAGGATGAATGTACTTCAGTGGCCAGTGAAGGTAAGGGTACTACTCCCCCTGTAATGAGGTAAGCGCATTCTTGTGGTTGTGACTCTCAGGTAAGATATATTGACCGTGCTTTTTGTAATAGGAATAAAAAGATGAGAGGACAGAGTGTGCTTCCCTGGAGCTGGTGTTGGGGACATTGTCAACAGGCTGGATAATATCACGTCAGGTAATGGGAACAAGCCCATTTATCTGTCTCAGTGCTGGTGGAAATGATATTGGGAAGGGTAGGAGAGAAGAGCTGCTAGATAAGTACAGGTCAGCTATAGATTTCATTAAGTCTAATGGAGGGATCCCAATCATATGTAGCATCTTGCCTAGAAGGGGAGTAGGAAAGAAATGGTTGTCTAGGGCAATTGGTGTAAATTGCTGGCCTAGGACAGTACTGCAAGGAACTTGCAATCCCATTCATTGACAATGGAACAACTTTTATGGCAAACATGATATGTATGCAAGGGATGGGGTACATCTCTCTGGGGCTGGGGTGGTAGCACTTGCAGACTCGATTGAGAGGCCATTGGTGAAATGCCTATGATTTTAAACTGATGGAAGATAGAGGTATGGGTGTGTGTGGGAAACAAGCAGGTTGCAACACTTGGGTTGGAAACAGTAAAGGTATAAAAGGCATTCAGCATGAAGTTATAAATAAAGACAATAGATCAGGTCAGCAAAAAAAGGGGGGGACAGCAGAGGGCAGAAAAGGGACTAGCCCCCTTAAGGTTTACTAACAAATAGCAGGAGTGTAAGAAATAAGATAGATGAGCTAAGATTAATTGCAAGTGCAGGAAACATAGATATTATTGCTATAACAGAGACCTGGCTTAATCTGATAGATAGAGAGATGCCCTCTGAATGTCACATACAAGGCTATAATTATTCCACACTGACAGGGTCAACAGGAAAGGTGGTGGAGTAGCGATGTATGTCAGAGACAATTTAAATTGTTGTGTTAGACAAGATATTTAAATTAGAAGCGTCAGCCACTGAATCTGTTTGGTTACAAACTTCTCGAGGGCCCAGAAAAACTAATTTTGGGTGTGATTTACAGGGCCCCAAATCTTGATAGGAGTGCAGTAAACTTCTATGGGACGAAATTCGTAAGGCATCTACATACGAAAATGTTGTGCTAATGGGAATTTCAACTATAGACAGATTGACTGGAGCAATTTGACAGGAAATTTAGAGTCAGGTGACTTTCTTGATACGATCCAGGATTTTTTTTTTAAAACAGTTTGTGACAGAGCCAACTAGGGGAAATAACCTCCTTGACTTGGTTCTTGCCAGTAGGGAAACACTAATTAATAATCTTGAGGTTAATGATGAGCTTGGGGAAAGTGATCACAAATCACTCAGTTTTTAATATATCATGGAATTCCCCTAATAATGGCAACAAGTCTCCGTCCCTGACTTTCGCTTGGCTGATTTCATAGGACTGAAAAATTACTTAGGTGGGCTGAACTGGAAATGACTTGACTAAGGGTCAGGTAGGTGGTGGGTGGTTGCCCATATGATGCTTTCCAGGGCATAGTTCTAGCTGCTCAGTCAAATTATGTTCCAAATAGGAAATCAGATCAAACAAAAATGATCCTAAATGGATGAAAATAGATTAAAATATCTGATTGGTCAAAAGAGAGGCATATTAGGCAAATCCCAAAAAAGGAGAGGGGCAATTGAGAAATCGATATATTCAGTTAAAGAGAGAAATAAAAAGGGAATTAGAAAGCAAAAAGAGATTATGAGGTTAAAGTTGCAAGAGAATCGAAGACTAACCAAAAGGATTCTTTTTAGGTATACAGAAGTAAGATTTAGGGACAAGATAGGCCCACTCAAAAGTTCCTCGGGTCAGCTCACTGACAGTGATAAGGAAATGAGTAGAATTTTTAACACATACTTCCCTCAGTTTTTACACAGGGAGGATACCCGCGATATTCCCGTAATAATAAATTATGTAGAACAGGACGATAATTTAAACTGTGCACTAATTTGGGTCACAAGTGACATGGTCCTTAGGCAAATAGATAAATTAAAAAACCCAACAAATCCCCAGGCCCTGATGAACTGTATGCAAGGGTTCTAAAGGAATGTAAAGAGGAGCTTAGCACACCTTGGCTTAATCTTTTCAACATATCACTACAAACTGCATGGTGCCAGATAAGTGGAAAAAGGCAAATGTGATACCTATTTTCAAAAAAGGTGCAGGGTCCTTAGCTTCGAACTATAGACCAATAAGCCTAACCTCCATAGTGGGAAAATTTATGGAATCAATAATTGCCGAGGCAGTTCGTAGCCACCTTGAAAAGCATAAATTAATCAACGAATCTCAGCATGGTTTTACAAAGGGGCGTTCCTGCCTTACGAATTTATTAACTTTTTTCACTAAGGTTATTTGAGGAGGTAGATCATGGTAATGAATATGATATTGTGTATATGGACTTCGTAAGGCTTTTGACAGGGTCCCACATCAGAGACTATTTAGGAAAATTAAAGCACATGGAATAGGAGGAGAAATTTTTTTTCCTGGATAGAGGCATGGTTGACAAATAGGCAGCAGAGAGTTTGCATAAATGGGGAGAAATCAGAGTGGGGGAAGCGTCACGAGCGGTGTTTTCCCCAGGGGTCAGTGTTGGGGCCCCCTGCTGTTCACAATCTACATAAACGACATAGATGAGGGCATTTAAAAAAACGACATCGGCAAGTTTGCCGAAAGACACCAAAATAGGCCGTGAATTCATTCTGACGAGGACATTCGAGCACTCCAGGAAGATTTGAATAGATGATGCAGTGGTCGGAGAAGTGGCAGATGCAGTTTAATATAGACAAATGCAAAGTTCTAAATGTTGGACAGGACAATAACCATGCCACATATAAACTAAATAAAAGTTTGATCTTAATATTACGGATTGCGAAAAAGATTTAGGAGTTCTGGTTAGCAGTAATCTGAAACCAAGACAACAGTGCATAAGTGTTCGCAATAAGCTAATAGAATCCTTGGCTTCATATCAAGAAGCTAAATAATAGGAGTCCTCAGGTTGTTCTTCAACTCTATAATCCTTGGTTAGGCCCATTTAGATTATGCTGCACAGTTTTGGTCACCGTATTACAGAATGGATATAAATTCTCTGGAAAATGTACAAAGGAGGATGACAAAGTTGATCCCATGTATCAGAAAACCTTCCCTATGAGGATAGACTAAGGGCCCTGAAACTGCACTCTCTAGAAAGACGTAGAATTAGGGGGGATATGATTGAGGTGTATAAAAGGAAGACAGGGAAAAAATAAAGGGGATGTAAATAGTGTGCTGAAAATATCTAGCCTAGACAGGACTCGCAGCAATGGTTTTAAGTTGGAAAAATTCAGATTCAGGAAGGATATAGGAAAGTACTGGTTTGGAATAGAGTTGTGGATGAGTGGAACAAACTCCCAAGTACCGTTATAGAGGCCAGAACGTTGTGTAGCTTTAAAAATAGGTTGGATAAATACATGAGTAGATGTGGGTGGGTGTGAGTTAGACCTGATAGCTTGTGCTACCAGGTCGGTTGCCCTGTTCCTCCCTTAAGTCAATGTGACCGACCCGACTAGGTTGGGTGCATTGGCTTAAGCCGGTAGGAGACTTGGACCCGCCTTGCATGGGCCAGTAGGCTTCTGCAGTGTTCCTTCGTTCTTATGTTCTTATGTTCTTATATATATATAAATATATATATATATATAATTTATATATATATATATATATATATATATATATATATTTATATATTATATATAATTTATATATATATATATATTATATATATATATATATATATATATATATATATATATATATATATATATATTTAGGAAAGGTAGGGGGTGTTGTGGACCAGGTGTTTACAGTGAAACTTAAAAAGTGAACAGTATTTAGAAGGCTAAAGAGGTCTTTGTGGCATTTATGGATTTGGAAAAGGCGTATGACAGGGTGGATAGGGGGGGCAATGTGGCAGATGTTGCAAGTG